TAAAGGAACATCCCAAAGAACATAACCACTATAGTCTAGTTTGACTTCTTAGCCAGGGTCCATCAGGTCTACAGGCCAGTGAGAGCAAAAGCTGTAGCTTTGGAGCTTCCGTTAGCCGTCATGAACTAAGCCAGTTCGATTGCAGGGCCTAGGTCAACAAAGAGAGTTTCTGGAGCTTAAATTTTTAGTAAATAAAAGATTACATGTATTATAGCCTAATTTTGCATTATTTTGTAAAGCAGCAATAATAACTTGTTTTTGTCCATCTCCTGGCATTTTTTGGGGCGTTCTTTATTTTGAAGTGTGGTGTTGAATACACAAGTCAGTAGTGACATATAACATGACATATGATATATAAATACAGGAGAAATCTAGAAGTCACGATATGCTGCATTTAAATAAAAAAAGAAAAACACGATTGACAATAGTATTAGGCATAACCGGAGAATTCCCTAGGAGGCCCCCACGTTGGTGAAATGGTGAGAGAGGGAAATAATTGGCAATACAAGACAGTAAATAACTGCAGATAAAGATGTACCCATGTAGGCTTAAGAACATGAAAGCAATAAATTATGAAGGAAATAAGAATTGAAGTTTCCACACGTTATTTGTGTTGAGAGGATTACATGCATAACAAATCTAACTCAGCTAGAGATATTCCTCAGAAGATCAGAGTAAAGGATAGAAAAAAAATAACACTATGCACTATGGTAGCCTCATGTAGAAATGTAAGCTTGCCAATAAGAGGACCTGAGAAATCTGATCATCCGATTCCCCTCTGGGGTAGAACATATAGTTCCGCTTCTGTGAGGCAGCTGCCAAGCATATCTGCTTTAGTAGAGGACTGGGAGACAGCAATCTGTAGCATGAAGTCAGGCCAAACGATAGCCTGATAGACCACTCCGGAGACTAAGTCATTTGGAAAGGTGCAGGATTGCATCCCCACTTGTTCAGACCATCATCGGACTCACCTCGAACCTACGTCAGGACCGCAGTAGGAGTATCTGGGGTGGATGGTCCTGTAGACCCTGCATCTGGTGTACTGTGATCCTCCTCCAGAATTGCCCAAAAAGTAAGTCCAACTTAGAGGGGATATCAGCTCCAAGCTCACACGTGGTGTCCTCCATTTTAAGGAGTACTCAAAGATAGCTTGGTTGTGAGGAATCACCTGATGGTTCAGTGTATTTTCGGGGACCCCAAGGGTACAGACTAGAATCACTCCCACCAGTCCAGATGGGGTGGGGCTGTAGAGAGAGGTAGCTGATATTCGGATTGCTCCAGGCTAGGAGATCGGCCACATCTCCCGCCCGGTGTGCCTTCCAGACAGCAAAGAAGGGCATTATATTATTGTATACCTCTACTTACCTTGCATTGTATTTAACAAATACAGGCCCAATTACATGCACTTATTAGTGAATTCAAGACTCATTTGTTTGCTTTCTGCAAAACAATAAATGTTCCCCTGTTAGTGCTGAATTGTTATTTTGGCCTGAATATAACTGCTATCAGTATTACCAATATACCTTGGGCATTCTGGGATACAGACGGGAGCTAATCTTACCTTTAATTTAAAATAGTTGTAAAGGACACATATTTACCTAAATATTGGACATAAGTATTGTAAGTGGACACATATATCTAAGGATTGTGACCTCATTTATTTTACATTGTTATCACCGTTATTTTCCTTATTTCTACACAATTAATATGCAAAAGGAGAAGAAAGGAACCTTTTCTGCATTGCTCATATCGTCTCCTCCTGAACTCTGTTTCCTGATGGAACATAATGCTAAATAAATTCTTATGGAAGCAGGATACACAGTCTGATACTCCGGGTTCACTGAACAAAGGGGAAGCTAGTAATGTCTCATCTACCATAAAAAAAATAAATGATAAAACAAAAGTAAATGCATACAAAAACTACTAGAGCTTTCACAGGGTAGGTCACTCAGAATAATTCATTGACCATTACTTAAAGACCACTAGTGGAAGAAAATTTCCATACCCACTTCTACATTCAATATGGAAACCCAAAGAAAAAGAGACAACTATCGAAGTGGAAAATGCATGATAGATTGTCCCTGATTATAGCCAGCCTTAATGGCAATATTTAGTTGTCTCAACCAGTTTTTCCCATTGTAAACAAGCTGCAAATTGTCTTCTCAACATGTGGTAAGCGACTTGAAATAATGTATTATAAAGAAAATGTATAGAGCTCTTATATAACATAAACGTACACTTTCATAACTGATATATTAAGAGGTAACCTCTGTGCAGTCAAGAGTTCACAAACATTTTTACTAAAATATGATTTATTTTACTCTCTACACTCATATGTTCATAACGTATTTTTTATTAGCATTATTTATTGAATTAGCTATTTCTATTATTTTCATATTTATTGTGTAATATTTGATGTATATATTGGTTATGAATAGTGTTTTAAACATAGTTAAAAAAAAAAAAAAAATTCTATAATTTAAATAATGAAATTTTGATAGAATTGTTGTATTGCTATATTTGCCGCGTGCTCCTTGAAAGTTCTAGAAATAATTTTATTAGCTACTTGTTATATCTTCTGTATCTTCTGTGCAGTTGTACTATAATGGGTATTACATACCTTTACATTAGAGATTTGTCACGGCAAAACAGGTGCTATTCTGGCGCAGATACTAAATAGGGAGCAATCGCCATGAAAACCAATGGGATCTCTCTAAACGGAAAGTTTAACCCAAAATAGCACATCCTATTACCTTGCTATATCCCCCAAGGGTTCTTTAATGTGAAATCATTATTTAGAACTGTGGTTAGGGGTTTATTTTCTAAGATTCTTTCGATCTTAGTACGACGGAAGGACTTTTAGTCTTTTGGCTTGATCACTTACAGCTGGTCAATCATCAGAAAGAGGAGCACTATATTCAGAAAAGACATGCACCCTATGTTATAATGCATGACGTGGAAGCATTTTTGTAAAATGTGTAGTTGGTGGAGCTATGCCAAAGATCAGGAACAAGCATTATATTACCTGATGCATAATCCTGCCCCAACATCGATGTACCCCAGGTCTTACTCTAGCAACCTAATCCTACTCTAGCAGCCTAATGCCTGCTCTAATATAAATGGTGTTATTATCACAGTAACTTGGAACCCTAAACACGTATACCTTCAACAATGGAGGACAAAGATAACACACATTACCAGTCCTTAGAGTGGCACTTAATGGATTGAAAGGTTAGAGTACAAGCCAAGGTCAAGGGCAGAAGAAAACATGGTAGACAAGCCAAAAAGTCAGGATTGCAGCGATCAGAATAATTGGAGAACAAGCCAGGGTTAAAACCAGAATACAGACAACTATATCGAATGCGCTATTGGGTCAGCTAGAGCCACAGCAGGGAATGTTAGTCTAGGCTGGAGGGGTTTATATAGCACAAGGAAAGAGATGATTGGATTACATCAACCCAGAGGGCCAGAAAGTTGGTGAACAACAGAAAGCTGGTTTCTTACCATCAGTGATGTCAGAATAACGCAACTGGCAATTATATTGGGTTGTGCCAAATGTGACGCACAAGTTATCACAGTTAGGATACGTTGCGTCATAGTTGACAAAGGAATGACGCATCTCTGTAGGAATACTTGGGTTTGCATTTATAACGATGCAAGACTCTGTGTGACTGTGCACGAACACTTGGGATCCCATCACATATTAGACCACACTAATGTGACCCAGGAATAGTATAATTGATCATGCATTTACAATGCAATGCATCACAAATGAGGCTAGAATAGCACGAGGCAGCCTTAGCATGTGTGACAGTTATGTTTTATTATAACCATGCCGATGAGACCCAAAAAGTCCAAAATGTGCAGTTCATGGTTGGTTTCTGGACCATAGTCATTTGGATTACAACTCATGCTTTGGTTTAAACAATGCTTGTTTGGTAAGGGTGCAAGGGTGTAGAGAACTAGAGAGTGAGAAACACCACCAATACTAAGTCACTTAATTTGAATTATGAGAAGACATTTCCATTTGGCATCTGTTTACGGAACATCAAAATGACGGGGTGCAATCAAGATTTTACTATACAATTACAACTTGCAGTTTAAAAATTGCAACTCTGACAGAAAGTGAAGACACGTTTCTTATTGAAATACCCTTGGGATAAAGGTAACTGTTAATTTTCATAACAAAACAAGATAAGGTTGCGCCTAAAATATACAATAAAACATATAAAAATTGTATATAATAAATAGTATAAAATAGTAAAATTTAATATAAAATATTAAATGAATTGTAAAATAAGTACTTGGCAATAGTCCAAAACACTTATCATAAGTCCGTAATGGTAGATGCCACGTGTAAGAACAGGGATTCTGAGACGTAGAGTAGAGTGTGTCTTCACAGTAGTGTGCTTGAAATCCAGTAGAACATATGTGGAGAAAAGACAAAAGGGAACTCCAATGGCACAGTATATAGATGAATAAAATAGTATGTAAAATAAAAATAATCTTACTCACACTTTTCAGACCTAAAACCTAGCTCTGATATAGCGCACGTGAAGTGGAATAATCCCCACTCAAGGATATGCGGAGTAATATTTGACTGACGAGTATCTGGCTGAGATTCGGCATCCGAGTTGGTGTTATTCGACCCAGGAATGAGAAATAAAATATATAGTGCTCTCTGTATAGTAGTTAAAAGGTGTAAAAAAGTATATAATATACTACTCACAGTATATAGAGCAGACTTGTACTGCTCGATGTAAGCGCTTGGGTGGTATAATCCCCACCTAAGGATTCTTTAGGCTTCTCGTCAGATAAGCAGTATATGTATAGTCAGGTGAAAAAAGAAGAAAGAAAATGGCTATAAAGTATTTTATGCCAAAAATAATTTCTTTATTATAAAGTAATAAAAATATCTAAACGCGTTTCGCCTCAAGGGCTTCTTCAAGTAGATAATAGTAAAGAAAATAATTTATTTATTATAAAGTAATAAAAATGATATCTAAACGTGTTTCGCCTCAAGGGCTTCTTCAAGTAGATAATAGTATAGTATATTATCTACTTGAAGAAGCCCTTCAACGAGCGCCCTTTTTCGCCGAAAACCGGAAGTCATCATCATCACCGAAACCAAAAGTGACATCCATGCAAGACGATGAAGAGCAAGGAAGTATAGCTTTCTAAAACAAAATAAAAACTAACACATGTATACATGTTCTTGGGAGGAAAGGGGTCAATGAGGCCAGGGTATCGACTATTGTCTGCTAAATTCGATTTTTCAAGTGTCCTTGGGATGGGGGAAGCACTGAGGAATTATAAGGTGATAATGAGTATATTTAAAAAAAATCTTTTTTAATGCTTGTTTTTTTTTTTAAATCTACTTATACATTACACATGCACTGCTAATGTTTTAGTGTGGTGAAAATGTATTTATTGAAATGTAACTGTGGACCCGAGTGTATATATTACACTTTCACTAACATCTTGATTTTTCAGTTGAGCCCTGGGTTAGTGCCCACTGCATGTTACACTGACACTCAGTGATACTTTCAAAATATTGCGGATAGTGGGTACCAAAGGTTTAGTACCTATAGACAGAAGGGGGTTTATTTGCTACACTGCTTACGGAGAATAATTCAGCCCCTGCCCCCCAAAAAAGAATAAACAAATAAATAAATAAAAATGTATATATAAATATATATAGTATAATTTTATATATCAATTATGATCCAAATATGCATTCACATTTGATTACTGAGCTCTAACACTATTAAGCTCAGCTGTTTCATAATTAAATCTGCAAATATAGTTCACACTATAAACAGGGTAGTAGGTTGAATGGACAGGAGGAAGCTGTGCAAATTTTATCACAGCTGCCGAGTCTTTATTGAACTACTGCTCGCAGGGCCTTCTATTTGGCCCTGACTTCAGCTTGCTTCGTTCTGACACACAAATATTAGCGTCACCTCTGAAGCACTGTGTTTAAAACCAGAGGAAGCCGTTTCTATATTGCCTTTAGAGGCAATATTGTCAATCTTCTAAGAGATGGAGAAAATCCTATCAGCTTCCCGCAGTGCCCCAGTTGACAATGCCAAAGCAAGTTTAACCTTTTGTCTTGCTTCAAAAAGCCTTTGGTCCATTAAGTATTTTCCAACTAATCTCAGTGATCTCGTTCCTAAAGCGCTAAAAGGTTAGGAATCAGTTTAATGCTGAGACAAACGAGGGCTTTTCTCTTCTGTGTTTGTGGTGTGGTGTTGAGTGGAACTTATATTTGTGCCAATATTCCGTACATGCTGCCTATATGAAATATCCGCATTTTAACCATGAAATAGTTTAATCACAAAAAAAAAAAAAAAAAAAAGAAATTCACAGTAAATGTAGACAATTTTTCTGTACTATTACCACCATTACCTTAACAACCTCTCTGACAAACCCCCGCGGTAATTTATACATTACACAGAAAGCTTTACAAACACAGTAATTTAGTCCTTTGAATATGTAGAAGGTATAATAGGGTCTGATAGCTCATGCAGATGCAGTTTCACGTGCTATCCAAAAGCTTATAAGGCCACTGACTTGTAATCAAGGCCTTTGCAAAAACCATTTACAACTTAAATAATGTGCACAGCTAAAGGGTTCTGTCCATTCTTATATATTTGAATTGACAGTTGTGTTGAATTCCTCATACAATGATGAGTTTGTTTCGAAGCATGCCTCGGCCAGCGTGAGACTAATAAAGCTTTAATTTAAAAAAAAAAAAAAAGGCAAGAAAACTAACTAATTAATATGATACATCAAATATTGAGGGATACACTTAAAATTTTGTTATATTATGAAAACAATATATATTTAAATTATTTATCTTATTTATCCTTTTCAGTTATATATATAAGTATACACACAGGCTTTTGCAATAAGAATGCTCAATCGGATTAATTTGGACAATACAGTGTTTAGAGAGCATCATGAAATAGTGATAAGACAATGGTTTATGGAGTATTGCAATGCATCATTACTTATGCCTTCAAGTGTTACCATAAAGGGTGGATGTTGGTCGTTGAACTGTGCTGGTTGTCTAACTGATTAAATGGACATACTATATGCAGTGGCGTACACATGACCCATGGGGTCCTGGTGCGAAAATTGATCCGTGGGCCCTCCCCCCCCCCGCGATTTTCACAGTGAGAGCACGCCAGCGTCCATAGGAAAGCATTATGAATGCTTTCCTATGTGACCGGCTGAATGCGCGCGCAGCTCTTGCCGCGCGTGCGCATTCAGCCGACGGGGTGGAACGGAGGAGGATCGGAGGAGGAGAGCTCTCCGCCCAGCGCTGGAAAAAGGTAAGTTTTTACCCCTTTCCCCCTTCCAGAGCCGGGCGGGAGGGGGTCCCTGAGGGTGGGGGCACCCTCAGGGCACTATAGTGCCAGGAAAACGAGTATGTTTTCCTGGCACTATAGTGGTCCTTTAATTTTGTGTGCCGCAAAAAAAATAGGGTTAACCCATTTTTTTCATAAACATAGCAGTTTCAGAGAAACTGCTATGTTTATGAATGGGTTAAGCCTTCCCCTATTTCCTCTAGCGGCTGTCTCATTGAGAGCACTCAGTGATTCCTCTTCAGCTCCCTCGCATGCTACGTAGGGATGCCGGTATCAGTGCGGTGCGCGAGGGAGCTGAAGAGGAAGCACTGAGTGCTCCCTCACGCGCCCGCCTGCCCGACCGGCCACCCGCCTTCCGGGTGTCAGCAGGGCCAGCCTTGGGGGGCCCTGGGGTGGTCGGTTCCTGGGCCCCCCAGGAGAAGAGGCTGGCCCTGTGGGTATGACCCTGGTATGTACGCCACTGACTATATGTATACAGGGGTGGAGGTGGGTCAGAAACCAAGGGAATAGTGTATACCATTCTACAAAATATGTACTATATATGTGACACAATAACAAACAGTGCTATCACCTAAAAGAATGTACCTCACATATACATACAAATATAATGGCAAACAAAATATAATATATACGACTCCGTAATGAAGTATAAACTAAACAGTCAGATAGCACAAAAGAATATAGAGGATACAACCTGTTTAACAGGAGGTGATCTATGGAAGATATCAATGCTGAAATCAGCTAGCATATCTCCACTAGAAAGTGGAACAAGTCTGGACTATTTTACTTCCAGGTTTTATTTGTTTTTATTTTATTCTGTTTGTACATCTTTGCTACATCTGACTGCTACATCATCTCGTTTGATGGATAAACCACCTTGTTCCACTTGCTAGTGGAGATATGCTAGCTGATTTCAGCATTGCTATCTCCCATAGATCACCTCCTGTTGCACAAGTTGTATCCTCTATATAATTTTGTGCCATCCCACTGTTTAGTGTATACTATTCAGTTTTGAGTATGAGATGTTTCAGTGACTATTGAGAATTTAATTTGGAGAGACTTAACCCCTTAAGGACCAAACTTCTGGAATAAAAGAGAATCATGACATGTCACACATGTCATGTGTCCTTAAGGGGTTAAAGGGACAGTCTTAGAGTGTCCCAGGTCCCTTAACCCTGCAATGGTAATTGCAGTTTTTAATAAATTGCAATAAAAACCCTGGAGGGTCAACTTCACACCTCTAGTGGCTGTCTCCAAGACAGCCACTAGAGGGACTTCCAGGTCATAAGGTGACTCTTGGTGGCCTAACTGATGCTAAAGGTCCTCACGCTATGCATGAGGACATCCATCGTACATCCATTGTACAATGCTTTCCTATGGGGGAAGTCCTAATGGAATCAGGTAAGTGACAGAAGGGGAGGGAGTGTGCGAGGGAGAGGAGCACTATATGGAGCTATAGTGCCAGGAAAACAACTTTGTTTCCCTGGCATTATAGTTTCACTTACATGGTTGAAGAAAGACCCTACTTGCCACTGAATGTTAACAGAAAGCTGAGGAATATAAAGAGGGGTATTGTGGGAAATTAGTTAAAGTAACTGGAAAAATTATTGACAAGTATAAGAAAAGTGTTGAAGAATGAGATAGAGGAGGAGAGACATCTAAGAGATAGAGTAAGCAGTGGGGAGAACAATGTAAATCGGACAGTTTGCAAAGGAAAACATAGGAGGGGCGACCCTGCTAATGCTATGGAATAGATGGGGGCGGGGGAGATGAGAGCATAAGTGGTCAAAACCGCATCAATGGCTCTTTACGGGGAAATCTAGATTTGCCTCAAAAAGATGTCAGTATTAATGTTGTGTCTCCATTTAGCCAGCGGTCCCAGATTTTGGGAAACATTGTGGGAGAATCTGGGACATGCGATGTTAACCTACCCATTTCTAGGGCTTCAGTTGTCTTCTGGTTTACTGTTGCAAGGGTTGGTAAAAAGCAGAGGAATACAATGCTATTCTAGATGTTAATTTATTCTGGTGCCCTTGTGAATGTTCACAGAGGTTTGGATAGAAGTAAGGCCTATGGGGGGGCGGGGCCGGGCCGCCATGCTGACTGGTCGCATGAAGGAGAAGTTCCTGAGGCACTCTGTCAATCTGGCTGAAAAACACAGCTTAAACACACAATTCAAGTTAAAAAATCTACCTGCAGCTGGTACACGACAGTGGACATCGCAGTGGACTCTGAGATCGGGAGTTTTGGAGCCTGTAGGGGTGATCTAAAGCTTTGGAGTTTGCGGCCTACTCGGAGGAGAAGTGGTGCAGACGGCCCCTGTCCCGCTCTCACCCTCCCTTCTGATGCCACACACCTTCTCTTTGGTGCGGTGACCGGCCCTGTTCCCCCCCCCTCTGGGCCGGTGGGGGTTATCCTGGCCTCCACTGGAGAGTCTGAAGCCGTACTACAACACGGGCCTACCCAGCACTCTGCAACAAATGGCAGCCGACCGTGCCCGAAACTGACACCACACTAAAGCCGGAACGGCGCCCACTCCTAGTACACCTACCACGGCTATGCCACAGACAGCGGGAGTCACGCTCTTGGACACTCACGTTCCAACTCCCAACAGTCAGAGCTGGCGCCCGACATGCAAACCACAACTCCGTGAGCCGTGCAGAGTATCACCTCACAGCACAAAGATTTAACCCCCTCAGCGATCCCGAGGTCGAA